ACATGGGATTTTCAATATTTACGCTAGGTATAAATATGGGTTGTTGTTACTCCGAGTTTTACGCTTAATGGCGATCATCAGACAAATGTATAATTAGGCCTGTTGTCATCCTATTTATATCATAGAGAAAATATATTTTCTCTATGTTTATATTGTTCATCATGGAGCGGTTAGGTGACTCTATAACGTTTTTAATACGGTTTAGTGGGTTGCTGTTGTGACGACATTTAGCAACTAGTTCGGTTCTTTGTTTATGTTTGATTGTTTTGAAGTGAACCGTTCCCTGGTTTTGCCACTGGGATTGCTAGTTTTTCTTCTATGCATAGGTTGCACTGGCCAGATTTACGTTTGTGTGTGTTGGATTTCTTAATGATTTCCCATTTCAGAGAGTATTCATAGCCCTTTCTTTTTAATTCTCATATGTATTTTGAGAGTTCTGTTTATTTTTTTTCATACTTATACCTAGCGTAAATATACTATTACTATACACATCCCCTCCTACAGTAGGTGGGATGGATAGATTATTTTCCCAAGGTTGCGGGAGGAAAAATTTCTTCCGCCATTTTTCTTTTGCCGCTACAGGGCTTCGGGGGAGCGAGAGAGGTATTAGACTAAACTTGAATACCCCTTCGCTTAAACACTGATGGGTCTGGGCCTGTATATCTTTATAAGTTAGATATAATTCATTATAGTCTATGTAAAAATAAGGCAGTATATAAGGTATACTATAATATTATATACATATATCTTATACTTATCAATCTTACATGAGCTTTTTTACTATATAAGCCTACTATACTTACAAGAATACAAAAGTATAATTTAAATTTCATATATAGCATACGTAGTAGGTCTAATATATACGGTATTATATTTCTAAAATACGCTTAATTTGTATATTATATTATTATAGCCTATGTAAAAATAAGGCCGTATATAAGGTATGCTATATTATATACATATATCTTATACTTATCAATCTTACATGAGCTTTTTTTTATTATATAAGCCTACTATACTTACAAGCATACAAAAGTATAATTTAAATTTCATATATAGCATACGTAGTAGGTCTAACATATACGGTATTATATTTCTAAAATACGCGTAATTTGTATTAAACTTACTAGTGTCCACATCAGAAATAAAAACATCATGCGTTCCATCCACAAGATAATATTTGTCGATTGTTCGAAGTCTCTCATCTTTCCAATAGATAGTTGAACTGATTCCATCATAAACAATGCCACCAGGTGTGCCCAACATTGAATCTAACAACCGAATGGGTTTAAGATCGATAGCTGTGTCGTTCACCGTTATGCTGGAAATAAGAATTGCCGGAGGAAAGCCTACAGTTGCAACAATCACATCACCACCTGTATAAATGAAGGAGTAGTGTGTACATTATTGTATCAAAATTTAAAGCTGCTGTAAGTGTTTTAAGTTTTAGAAGAATATATCAGTGAGATACAATGATTAATACAAATATATTTTGATGCATTTCCGTTCTTTTTCAGCGTTTCATAAGCCTAATAAAAGTTATATAACAAATACATACAAAGTAGGGCTGCTATCAGCTGCAGCAATTATTACAATACTGGGTTACGTCACGCCTCTATTCGGTATCTTCAGAATTATAGCCTAATTTGTGACTTTTGAAACATTTATATTAAGCCTTCATAGACATATAGTGTTTTCTTTCCATATATTACATTAAAACATATTTTGAAATGTTTTATTTTCACTCTTTCTGATTTTCAACAAAAACAACAATAGCAAAAACAACAACAAGTTCTCATTGATACAATGTCAAGTTCTTTCAGCTTATGGCAGAGAGCTATATTAATAAAAACAACACATTACCAAATGAAAATTCGATAGAGTAACATGATGCCAAAAATACGAGGATACATGTCCGGATAAAGCAGCCGTTCTTCGCCATTCAGTTTCTACAATGGTTTAAAAAAAAAAGAATTCCATATAATTGGTTTAGCTTGAGAAAAAAAATTACAGAAAAACACAATGAAAAGCCTCCGTTATGAAGAAAACATAACTAAAATATATATAATCTTACATAATTTCAATAATATTTTTGTAAAAAATTATTGATTATTTTTTCAACTTACGTTATATTAACTTTTCCTAAAGGCCTATCCGTTTTCAAGTGTAGTCCTCTATATGAAGTTTCACAGCAAATGTTCGAACTTGGTGTCAGTTAAGTTGCAAGAAATCTACATTTAAATAGTTTTGTCTTTTGATTATTATTGTTTCTGGTTCACTCGGTAAGGCTTGTTGCCATTGTTTTATGAATGGTGAAGGTGTATTCTTTATCTCTTTTATCTGCAAAGAAAAGCGTTATAGAATTAACTGAATTATAGAATTCCTTGTGGTGTTTAGTGAAACCTTGGTAGGACCGACACAATAATAGCGTGTTTTGTACATAGCATTAACAGTGAATTCCAACTTTTAATAAACGCACTTACTATTTTTTTAAACAAGACCAAGGTCGATGGTAAATATTATTAAATTGTAATTGTTCATGCGTTTGTGTAATCATAGCTTTCATGGAACGCTGGACAGGCATTGCAATTAAAAATTGTTGCTTGTACTTTTCCTTTTTAAATAGTATATCAGATTATACTGAAATATTGTTATGGAATGCATTATAAATTTTACTGTTGTACAAAATGTATTACATGGCCGATTAGTATTAGCAGTTAAATAACATTAGTAAATCACAATTGAGAGAAGGTGGAGACATTATTAAATATTTGCGGACAGATGTAATGTTTAGTAGCAGTCATGCTGCCGTTTTGAGTTCAATAAACAACTCACTTTAATATGTGTTTTAATATTTACCCAGTATGTGGTCAGTTTCTGAAAAAGCATCAGACAAAAAGTTGTTAGCTTATAGTATTATCCGTAATTTTTAATTTTTAATAAAGCATGTATTAATAAATTTAACCAAAAAATTATAAAAATTAACATAATGTGCACATCATTAGATAGATAATTTTACTAGCTTTTGTATGGTACCAAACATATTCAAATTCAATCTTCCAGTGACGGATAGCTTCATAATACGATTTTGGGGTAAAAACGTGTAAAATTCGCCATTTTTCGGTCAAATGTGGCACTTAAATCAAAATTTCAGCGTGGCAAAAGCCCATTCCGTGTGAGGCAAAAGCTGGTGATGAGGATTCACGTTGTTGCCAGATTGTAACAAATAATGCCTACGAAAACAATTTTTTGAGCATTCAATCTGATGGCCACTCATCTATAATATGGATTATTCATCAAGTTCAATTAATGACACATAGTATCTGAGGAAGTGAATACATGTAAGTACTTACAGATTAACAAACTTGATTAACAAAAATCAGAATTTATGATAATGGGAGAAAGACAACGCTTAGAAAATCCAAACTGCTGCTTTTATGTATCGTTTATCGCATAATACTTTACCACCCAACATCAGTAATCTTTATACAAGAGCATCTGAACATCATCAATATAAACAAGATTTTCTAGCATCAATTATACTTCTCGTACTCCGTGCACATCTAGTATCAGGCGTTTTTCAGTTCTCTTTTGGGGTCCTAAATTATAGGCTAATCATTCTAATCATTTTAAGAAGTCTTTGGTCTCGGTGTACGGTAATTAATTAATTATCTTTTTTCTTTTCTTGCTCTCATTTCTATTTGAGTCTTGAAATAATGTGTCTGGTCTTGTGTTCTTGTGTTCAAAACTGGATTGGAATTATTATAATTAATTATTATTAGAATTTTATTGGTATATTATTCTGTTATTATATTAGTTTAAATACAGCTAATCATTGGTACCGGTCACTTTTCCAACCGTTTTGTTAAAGGTGGCTACGTCTTAAAGCTCTACTAGAACTTACTGTAGCCTCCTTCCATACAATGTATTTGTTTTAATTTGCATTCTTATTTACTGTATTACTGTATTGTATGGAAAATAAATGCATATTTGATTTAATTTGATTTTAAATCAAAATGATAAACTTACTATTAAACTAATGATACCCAAATATCTATAGCGCCAGCTCCAAAGGAGAATGATCAAAGGCGCTGAGCGTTATAATCTCCTAGTCACTGGATAACTTGTAATGGCAAACCAGCACAAAGTGTAGCCTTCACTGCTCCCTGAGGAGTATGGAAATCATAATAATGCCAGTAGGAAAATATCAGTAGAAGCATGGAGGAGTTAGTTTTAAAATAATCCTCCACGGTAGGAGAGAATTCCACCATTTATAAATGAATAATCCATTTCAGAATGGGGTGTTGATTATAGACATAGCCAAGCTACAGTATCACACACCCAGTTAATCCTACTCATATGGTAATTTACCGGTGTTCATAATACTGTATAATTAGAAAACATCATCACTTATTTCTTTATTACATTAGCTAGGCCTAACTACAAGTATTGCAATGCACGCCATCGTGTTGGGATTCAATATTTCGACATTAATTATGTCATCATTAGGCTGTATTTATTTTACTAAATTCACAATAGAGCATCATCATTTCTGTTACATTTCCTTAAGTATCATAGTACATTTAGTTGAATAAACACAACCTAGTTAGGTTGTATTTATAAGTAAATAAAATCTAATAATTAGGCATATTAAGGCTGTATTTATTTAATTAAATGTACTATATAATACTTTAATAAATATAACCCAATAAATCAATTTGTTGTATTAAGTATTGTACATTATAACAACCTAATTAATTAGCTAATTAATTATTAATTTATAATTCTTAACATAACATTTGTAATTAGGTTGTATTAGTATCAGTTACTTTTTTTAACTTAAATAAATACCTAATAAACCTGTTAGATTCTTGTATTTATTTAAACATGGTACTAAAATGGTAATGGAATTTGGTTGCTTCCTCACTGAATTGTATAAATTGGTGTTCAGCTATTAATTTTTCGTTGGTGAAATTAAATTTTATTTTAACTAATTTTAAAAATCGTACAGTATTACACACATAATTTTTCTACAAAAATTACGTTTCACTATGTATATTTATTTCAAAAACATAAATTAATATTTTTAACTCTCACTTTATAATAATTATTATGGTACGATGAAACATATAAAGACATAAAATAAACTGCGCCCGATACATACTACTATAATAGGATATTTTTTCTACATATATTTCTCTGTGTGCATATACAGTATTATTTCAAAGACAAAGTAAAACAAACATAAAATTATAGTTACTTAACAAGTATTTTTAAAATAACCTATTAAGCCTGTAATTATTTTTGGATCTAAACATTATCACCTTATACATACAGTGCCACCACTACAATCACTACTATAAAATGACAGCTTTCGGGTATCGTGTTCGGTTAAATTATGTTCATGTATGTAAATCTATATTTAGAAAAATAAATGTAAATGTTACACTTACTGAACAATTATATTCTCAAAATAGTAACATCGATTAACCTATGTGTCCGTACTTGATCATAATATTCTAATATAAAGAAATAACCATCATAATACATACCGTAATTTCAGAATAATTGGTTGTTCCGAAAGATGCTTTAATTCAGTTAAACAGTCCAAAATATAGAAGGTGCCATTTAAAAAAATAATTGCACACACAGTATAGTTCATTTACTTAAATACTGCCAAAAAACTGAAATGATGATGCTCTATGGTAAATTTAGTGATGTAGAGCTAGCCTAGATCGCGTTATTTAAATTTACGAAAATCATTGTGTGACTGAGCACTTTGGCTTTATTAGGAATTTACTTTGTGATTGGCTGAAATAATCTTCTGTAATTGTCTTGCATGTGTACGCAAGTGGCGGACTTCTCACTGACGGACATCTAAATGAACTTCAGTAAATTGTTTGTATGATGCAAGTACTTAAATTAATGTATCGGTTATATTTTAATTAAAGTTAGAATCTATGGAACTGATAGCAAATGTCAATGGCAGTCTTGTGGACTGAAAGCCGGTCAAATTGCAAGGGTGCGGCTTGCAATTGAAAAATTTAGAATAAATCCTAAAGATAATCAGGTAAGTGTTAAGATACATCGAGAAACTGAAAAGTTGTTGTTACTGATTATATATTATATATATTTTTAATTGATTGTCTAACGACGATTAGCGTTCAAGAAGAAGAGAATGTTTTGAATAAATTTTTAAATATATTTTTGATAGATTTTCTCCCAATAATATATCACGGCAAACCATAACCTGTAATATGTCCGTGGGCAAACAGACCAGCATATAGCCTGGGTTCCAGGCCCTAATTTTGGGTTACTCATTCTTTATTGCACTTAGTGCGCGCCATACCTAATTTTAATTGGCGTCCCATACTCGATTTCTATTTTTTTCGGATTAGGTTATTCCGTCTCGAAATCAAAGATCTTTGCTCGAAATTAACTTTCTCCTTGGTGGCGCTGTCCTATGTGCTCTTAGTCACTGAATGAAAAAGATGATTATTAACTTAGAAAATATTAAAGAAGACAGTGTTGTACTTTATCACTGTGTCCCACTATAGCCAATTTGGCAACCATTGGGCACAATGAGAAAGAATAAGATTATCTTGGAAAATATTAAACAAGATATTATAGTTTATCACTGTGTCCCACTATAATGATGTAGGGCACTGAATAAATTGTTAGATTATCACTCTTTTGTAGTTGCGGCCCCCCGTTTGTGGCACAGATTACCTCTTGAAATAAGATCAAGATCGTCGACTGCTTTGTTCCTGTCTCTTATACACATCTAGATGTGTATAAGAGACAGGATACATTTCTTTAAAAAAACATAAAATTAAACCAGTTTTTATACAATATATACTATTACTAGTCAAATATAAACAGTTCCTCCCTTATCAATAAAAACAAAAGCGCAATAGCGAATTTTTCTGATAAACAAAAAAAAAACAAAAAAAAACCGCCCTCCCTCATCGTTTTTTCTTTTTTTAAAGAGTGATATCTAATAATTTTTTCTATGTCCTCTTAGCAGCCGTTGAACACAATGAAAAATAAAAGGATCAACTAAGAAAATATTAAAGAAGACAGTTGTACTTCATCACTGTGTCCCACTATAGCCAATTTGGCAACGATTGGACACAATGAAAAAGAATAGGATTATTTTTGAAAATATTATAAGATATTTATAGTTTATCACTGTGTCCCACCTTAGCCAATTTAGGGCACATAGAAAAAAATATTAGATCACTATTTTTTTTTAAGGGAATAGGGCGGGCCGTTTTTTTTTTTTTTTTAATCGGAACAACTGCTTCTTTTATTAGATGAGGGAGGGACTGTTTTTATTTGGCAAGAATATTGTAAATATTGTATAAAAACTGGTTTAATTTTTAAATTGTTTTTTTAAAGAAAACGTATTTCCAATCACAAAATTACATTGTTTTTTCTGCTGTTGAAAAAATGATGCGGCCAACAAAAGGAAACAATTTTAAAATTTCCGCATCAATATTTCCCAATTTTTTTTTATGCGGGCTGGAGTGATGGTCTAATAATTTTTTTTTGTATAGGCATATGATCTGTTCATTGTGCTTTCGATTTTGATAATGATAGGAATGATAGGAGCACTGTATGGTCAATGTGCGCCAAAATAAATAGATGATTAACATAAAAAGTATGATGACGTTTATTTGAACAATACTGCTATTGTTTCTAAAATTTGGTAGAGTAATGTAGTTCATGTGGTTATCATTGGAAAGTTATTGATCTATTGGTAAATTCTATAATCTGGTTGTTGTACGTATATGACATATTTTTTACATTTTTCATTTTATTTCTTTATTCATGTTTTCCGCAATTGACAAAGTAAACTCAACCATACATATTTAAAAAACAGAGCGACGAAAAGGACCTCCACGAAACTCTTAGGAGCTTCTAAAATGGACACCCGGTGTTAAAATTAAAGTCTATTTAGACATAAAGACAGTATATAACTGCCTAACTAGGAAGATACACCCCATCTACCCCAACAGTCATATTTCCGCATCAATGCATTCGTCACTTCATGTCTCGATTTTGGAAATTCCCTTTTTATTGGCTTGCCGAAGAGTTTTTTACACCGTCTCCAGTTGCTGCAGAACAGATCCGCCAGAATTATAACTGAGACGAGGAAATTTGACCATATTAATCCAATTCTACAACAATTGCACTGGCTGCCTGTGTATTATAGGGTCGTTTTTAAGATCCTTTTAATCACGTATAAAACGCTAAACGGTGAAGGTCCAGAGTATTTACGTAGTCTCTTGGTGTGGCATGTGCCATCACGAAATCTTCGTTCAGGTGATAGACGAT